AAAACACCTTAGTATACTCCCTTGAGCCATCAGTTTACCCATAAACAAATCTAGTGTTCTCTTCCCCAAACCATTATTGTTTCCCTACAAAAACCCCTATCCATACTCAAGTGAGTGTTCTGATGCCTGATCCAAAATCTGCATCAGTTCCACTGGGACTTCATCTTCTCCTGACTGATCGTGCTGGGGGCTCTGCCTGTCTCCAGCACTCCAGACCCTCAGCTACCACCATCACCTGGGACCCCCCAATCGATTCAACTGTCACCGAGTGTTGAGAACACACACTCTCTAGGTATAGCCTTCTGCAGGGGCAGCTCTCTGTTTTCTGCCGCTCCAAGCACGGCAGTCAGGCAGCCTTCGGCACGCCTGAGGGTGGTCCGCTGGTCCCGCGGATTCGGTGGCGTTTCTGCGGGTGATCTGCCGGTCCCGCGCCTTCGGAGTGCCCGCTGCCAAATTGCCGCCAAAGCCGCGGGACTGGCGGACCTCCTGCAGGCATGCCACCAAAGGCTGCCTGACTGCCACCCTCACGGCGACCGGCAGGCCTCGCCCAGCAGCTTGCCGCCCCAGGCATGCGCTTGCTGCACTGGTGCCTGGAGCCGCCCCTGGCCTTCTGACCCTGACTTGTGTGATCAGTTATAGTTTTGTAAACCTGACTTTTATAATCAAGTTTAAGTTAGATTTAATATTATAACTGTTTGTTTGGCTCCCCTATGGTTATTACCTGGAAATAAATAACTTTCATGATTAAGCTGGTTGCTTTTCTCTCCCCCCTTGTCCCTCCCACTCCCCCCATGAATGTTTTTTGGTTTCCTCATTTGCTCCGAAGCACGTTCCTTGTACCTAAGCTAAAAGATCCCTGCAGCGCCCGAAAACCCTGTGGGGTTTGCTCATCAAGTGGGTTACTACCAGAACGACTGTAACGTGAAAGTGGGGGTAGGGATGTGCTGAACCTGGGACATATGAGTGTAGCTGAAGCCAATTCCTCCTCGTCCCAGCCTCCGCCGCCTCTGACTATACCATGCCGTCCCCCTGG